ATGATAATCTACCTGCAATTTGTTCCGCTTGTATGTGAAGACAGGGAATTTTTTTAGCATGATCTCTTTCTGTTTTAAATGAACAACATGGTTCTTGCCTTCGACCTTAATGACGTATGAGACTTGATCTTTGCTGGCTTCGCCTACCGTTGGTACTACCCGCCACGGGATTACAACTTCGTAGGAAGCACTGTTTGGAGGAACATGGGAAATACAGACTATGACTGGAAAGAACTCTAGTAAAATAATGGAGACTCCTAGCTTAAGGAGCCAGATACGTTGAAAGACCCCATGGCTTTTTGCCATCAGTCACTACAAAATCCTTGTAGATGTAAGACCAATGGCCAATTTTAAAACTAGTTCGCAAAAGGACACAGTGAGTCACTGGTGGCCTCTTCCAAGACCGACGCACCTGTCCCTTTGCATACCTGTCTTCCTGAAGAGGCCGTCTCCTTGGCATCTGGACCTTACATCAGCCAAGAGGAAAGAGAAAGAGGTAGAAAGCGCACTTGCCGCTTCAGAAACACAGAAGTACTTGAAGTGTAAGAAATACACAGTTGAGAGTTTAGCACAAAAGTTGAGGTTGCGGTGGTTCGGTGGAAATGGGGCTTCAAAAGAGAACATTCCACCTGATGTCTGTTTCTCTCTAGGCCTCTTTGAATGTTAACATTCTACGGCAAGGTGTGATGAACATTCTGTCAGCGTGGTCTTCTTTTCTTCACTCACTGTTACAGCTTCTCTTGTCAGGGTAGGCTACTAATAAAAACAGAGGTGGGGTTTTAACAAGGTGCCTAAAAACAGTGAGATTATTCCCTGTCTGTGCAGAGATAAATTACAGACCAATTTCCTCCCACTGGAAGAAGTCTTCAACTTCTATCCTCAGCCATAGCAAGTGGGTCAAAAGATGTCTGGGTGAAATTTTGATGTCATGGTGGGGAGGGCTCCAATGTTGCTCTTAAAAATGAACTGAACGTAAGAAGAGCCCCACTGGATCAGAACAGTGGTCCATCTAGTCCCGCATCCTCACAGTGGCTAACCAGTTACTCTGGAGGACCAACAACAGGGCATAGAGGCCTTCCCCTGATAAGAACATCAGAAGAGCCCTGCTGGATCAGACCAGTGGTCCATCTAGTCCAGCATCCTCACAGTGGCTAACCAGTTACTCTGGAGGACCAACAACAGGGCATAGAGGCCTTCCCCTGATAAGAACATCAGAAGAGCCCTGCTGGATCAGACCAGAGGTCCATCTAGTCCCGCATCCTCACAGCGGCCAACCAGTTACTCTGGAGGTCCTACAACAGGGCATAGAGGCCTTGCCCTGATAAGAACATCAGAAGAGCCCTGCTGGATCAGACCAGGGGTCCATCTGACTAAGTGGACAACCAATTCCTCTGGAGGGCCAACAACAGGGCGTGGAGGCCAAGGCCTTCCCTTGATGTTGCCTCCTGGCACTCGGATTCAGAGGTTTGCTGCCCCTGAACATCACCAGGTAAAGGATCTCAGGTAGCAGATGCTGGGAAAGATCCTTTGCTGCTTGAGAATGGAGAGAGCCACTGCCCAAGTAGATAAAACTGAATTAGGCAGCTCAGTGGTTTGATTACACAAGACAGCTTTGCATATGGTCAGAGACCCCTGCCCCCAAAATTAGTTTACGAAATAATGCCTGCTTTGTGCGTAGTAGTGAGATTTTTGCAACATGTAAAAAAGTTCCTAGTATATTGGTCTGTTTTCTGGTTAAAGTACGGGTAACTAAAAACTGCTTCTATACCCAATATCCTATTCCTTGCAGTACACTCACTTCATGAACAAGCTCTGCTCAGCCTCGTGTGAACCATGGGAGGGTCATTGGATCAGAAGTTGGAGATACCTGCGGGGGATCAGAACCCCTTGGGAGAAACCACATCCGGAAAATCTCTGGCACATAAAGGTATCTGGAAACAGCAGCGACCACTCAATTCAGGGCCCTGTGGGATCTTTTCCAGTTCCGCAGGGCCTACAAGACGGAGCTCTTCCACCAGGCCTTCAACTAAGGAGCCGCCACTATACCAACAACTTTAATTACAGAGCCCTGGCCCCTGGTTTCAACATCAAGCCTGCGCCGCCCTTGTACGAGGCAGATCATGAGTGGAATGATTGTGAGACCTTTATCTGCACTCTTCTTAAGTAAGCCATCTTAAATAATGAATCAACTATTGCCAGCGCTTTATGAATCATGATTTATTTATAATTGAACTGTTTTTAGAGGATGTTACGTGATATTAATTGTTGTTGTATTGACCAGTGTAAGCCGCCCTGAGCCTGCTCACAGGGAGGGCGGGGTATAAATCGAATGAATAAAATAAAAAATAAAAAATAAAAAAATGTCAGAACATGATCTGAAGTTTAAGGTGCAACCCCCCCCCCCCAATTTTTTATTTTAAAAAGCACGTTTTAAAAAAAAGCCAGACACTTTGGTAAGATTTAGTAAAATTATTTATGTACACCAATGCATAATATTTACATTATAATACTGATTCAAAAAGAAAAACAAAACCGGCAGTACAGAAAAGGACACATGGAAAGTAGAAAAAGTCATGACAAAACTGAGACGCGGTGGTTGAAAGTAGAAAAGTGGCGGCCATGCAAAATATGTGCGTTATCTAGCCACTCGCTTGCAGAACAAGTTCTTAGTCGAATTCGCGTTTTTGAACAAGCCAATCACGTCCCTGACTAAGCCTGTTTCGACGTAATGGCTGCTCATAAATGGACAGTTCTGTTTTCGTCTGAAGGTGTGCAACTGGAAATCTTCCAGCAGGGAAAATGTGGAAAACGTCACATAGGAACTGGGAAATCCATTTGCATTTTAGGAAAACTAATCTATAAACCTGGTCTCTTCCTGAAGGATTGTCTCTAAGGGCATCACCCCAAAAGCACTCCCTTGTGAGAAAATAGCAGCACGGACAGAGGGAACTCGGCCAGCATGAGATGCCCCCCCCCTCCTGCTTTCAGTCTTATACCCCAATCCAGAAAACAGCTAGTGCCGTAGAGGGCTTCTTCCTTGGTGTGCAAAGACCGTTCACTTCAACCAACAGCAAATCTATGCGTGCACTTCCTGAAGTGAAATGCACAAACTGCACGCACAGACGATCCATACCCTGCATAACCGTGGCACACCCAGCTGCTGCGGGGGCAGTTAATCCCGAAACTCACCCTGGCCCAAGCTAATCACTAGCTCCCTTACCAGTGGTTTCCCAGGGAAGGGCTTTCAAAACTTCTGATCGTGGAGGCCTTCTATAAAGTAGAGCAAAAGCAAAAAACAAAACAAAACGGGGAATGTCAGCTTCTACTGTCGCTCTGAACTGTGAGAAGAAGCTACCTACCGTTCAAAGAGGCCAGGAGACTAAATACCAACTTTTGGCTTGTTCTGGAGGTCAGGCTGAAACCTCAGTGATTACGGGCGAATGTGAATTATTGACTCGCTTCCCAAGGACACATCTTCCTACCGCTGCTGCGTCTTTCTCAACGGAAGCCTTTGAGCCTCCTCCTTGGCTTAGGAAGACTTGCCACCTTGCCTTATGGATCCAGAAGGGCGTTCTCACAAGTTTTGTGGCCGTGCGCTGTTGGCAGCCACGCCCTACGAGCTGACAACCGTCCAACAGCCTGTATGTACTTGTGCCTTATCTGTATTGGTTATAGACAAATATTGCAGTCCACGTGGTGGGAGACAGCACAAAAAGCCCCGGGCGCCGCACCACACCTTCCTCCTGTCATTACAGCCTTCCTGGATCCACACGAAAGGATTCCACCAGTACTGTAAGCCACATATTTAAATGCTTCTTTTGGGGGGAGCAGCTAAATACTGCTCCCCGAGAGGTGCTAGAAAGGATGAAGGAAGCCAGTGACGTCAAGAGAGAACACCCGAGAGGGCTTGCCCCGAAGAGGCAAAGCTCCCGGAGTTTTCACTCCCACCAATCACTGCATGGATGGATAACTGACTGATAAGGAGAAAGCAAAAGAGGAAAGAAGAAGAACACGGCACGTAGCGACAACGTGGACGAGGCAATATGGCTCAGGAAAACAAGTGTAAACAACCCAATAATCGTGAGCTACGAAAAATGCAACACGTGATTTAAGTCAACAGCTCCGAGCTGCCTCGAGCCGGCATGTCAGTCACTAAACGGCACCGGTGATTGTACAAAATAATTCTATAAAACCACCATCAGCCCTGTCTTAAAAAGCAAAGTGTCGATAAGGTAGAAAACTAGAAGTTATGTACAGTTTCTCTGTTAACTGCGATTTTTTTTCTTTTCTTAAAAAAATGCCACTGTTTCCGGAAGAGGGAAGAGTCCTCGGCTTCGCAGCGGGAAGCCGGGAGAAAGATGGGCAGGTTGCCCCTGGGGAGGAAAGGACGTGGCGGGGGCGGGTGAGCCGGGCGGCACAGAACCGAGGGCTTGAGGCCCGGAGGTGTGTTCCCGTGGGCCGCCCACCAGAGTCAACTCTGACTTTAAAGCGGGGGCCCAGGAAGAAAGTTCTGAAGAACAATCATGCTGTTCGCATCCCTCGGCTTGCTTACTTCAAGTAATGTACTGAGCGGAGAGAAGAAACGGAGAGTAATGCTAATCGATGCAGGCTGTTAACCATTCGCTTATAGGCATCTGGAAGGAGATTACAGCATCTAGTTATTGAAGACGGTCACTTGCCCCGTTTGACAGTCGGGAATTAAATGGTACATACAAATTATATATATATATACATACACATACATATATATACATATATATATATATATATATACATATATACATGTGTGTGTGTGTATATATATATATATACACACTTTTTGAAGAACTGAGTTTTAAAAAAATATTACAGTACCAATGATTCTCGTTATCTACACCTATTCAGCATCGTTTCAAGCTGCATGGAAATTTTAATGAAATAATTATGATTTATTAATTTACATAAAAATACTTTACAGATTAAAGGATAACTCAAAGTAGTTTAAAAAATGGAAAGGGGGGGGTGTCGTCTGTCTTTGCTCTAAAAAGAAGCAGTGTCTCCGGCTATTGAGAGTCGTGGGAATTTGTCTGCTCCTCGATTACTTGCTTCACTATTTCGGCCAGTTTTAGACGGTCCACTTTGTCTGTAAATCCTCTGCCTGAAATACAAGACGTGAACTTGATTAGCTCCAAAACTGAAGAATGACCCGATAGGATTGCATGACTCGATCTAATGGGTGGAAATTAGAAGGGAGTTGTTACCGGCTAAATATCAGGAGACACTTCCTAACTATAAGAGTGGCTGAGCAGTGGAACAGACTGCCTCGGGAAGGGGTGGGTGCTCCTTCGCTGGACGTTTTCAAGCGGAGGCTAGGCGACCATCTTTCGGGTAAGTTGTAGGCCTATCTTTCGGCTGTGCTCCTGCAGAGTGCAGGGGGTTGGACTAGATGACCCGCAAGGTCCCTTCCAACTCTAACATTCTACGATTCTATGATGCCTTCCCAAATTCGGATTGAAACTATTCCTGATCTGCCCCACACCCTATAGTGATCTGCACAGCAAACTTTCTGTCAACTTTAAAAGAAAATGCAGCCTCGATATTAAAGTTGCAAGAACAACAGATGTCAGGGTGTCGGCGGCCAAACACCAGCTCAAATAAAACTGCCAGCAACCAAACATTTACATATTTAAAACATTTATTAGCCACCTGTCTGCCTTATAGGAACGGAAGGCGTCTTACCATGTAAATAATAATAAGATCCAATAAAATATACGCAAACCCGAGTTAAAACCAGTAACTGAAAACACTGCTGGTAGGCATAAGAATTAATCAAATGTTGTTTGACAAACAATATATTGATAATTCCGTTTGAACAAACAGTATATCCAGGGCTCTTTCTGTAGGTAAAGCCCAGCAGGAACTCATTAGCATAATAGGCCACACCCAACAGCAGAAACTCATTAGCATATTAGGCCACACCCATGACAGCACAGCTCATTGGCATATTAGGCCACACCCCCATGTTACCAGAAGTGTGCTCATCCAGCCATACCCACCTTTTGCTTCTTATTCTGCTTACCTTGTTTGTTGTTAAAACCCAGGGCCTTTTTTTGTAGCAGGAACTCCTTTGCATGTTAGGCCACACACCCCCAATATAGCCAATCCTAATGAATTCCTGCTGTTGGGTGTGGCCTGTTATGCTAATGAGTTCCTGCTAGGCGTGGCCAACTTGGGAGCCAGCCAGAACTCTGTTCCTGTGCGTTCCTGCCCAAAAATAGCCCTGATGTATATCAATAATTTCCTAAAGACAAATTTTGAGACCAGTGCCCACCTGAATCATTTCCTAAATTTCAGCGGCTGCCATTTTTGTTATCTTGTCATTGTACTGCTGCTGTTTTCGGTTGACTGATTTAATTGTCTCCTTGCCCATCCCTCCAGGAACCTCATCGTTACGAGGCAGGCCAAACAACAGACGGAGAACGCCACCCGCTCTTTTACGCACAGGGTCCCACGCATGGCACCTGCTGGCACCTTTCCCGGTGCTGGCCAAGCGTTTTAGAAAGTGGATGAGGGGGGCAGGTGGGTCATTTGCCTAGTAAGGTTTTTGATTAGCTGTGCAGATGTTTAAAGACTGATTTGGGAGCATCTGTTGCCAGCCTTCCCTCTAAGCTGAGCTAGTTTGTGCTTGCTCACAGTTTTTTGGCCTCTGGCTCACACATTTTTGCCTTAGCCCAGGAAGGAGGGCTCCAGAGCAAACTGATTGATGCAGTCGCCAAATGGCTCCCTCACAACTTGAATGCCAGGAGCCCACAAAGTAGTTCCCGTGGCCCTTTCTTTAAGGCCAGGAGCTCACAAGACGCCACAGCTTAGAGGGAGCATTGGCTGTCGCCATAGTGACTGATGGTAAGCTGTGGCAGCCATTTTGCGATCGTCTCCACCTCCGGCGGCAGCCATTTTGTGGCAGCCGTTCTTGTGGCTGTGGCCGCTGCACTGTGCCCGAATTCCAAAAGTCCCCAGAGGCTCAAAAAAGTTGGGGAACCCTTGTTCTACCACCACGCCCTTGGCGCCGCTCACCGTTCCAGCTGAAGGACTGAAGGGTATCTCGCAATAATTTACACTCCCGGTTGTATTTCCAAGCTTCCTGCATCACTTCGTTCAGTTTCTCGTCTTCATTCTCGCCTGTTTCAGAACAGGGGGGGGAAAAAAAAGTAAAGCAGGCATCCTTCACCAATTGTGTCATGCTGGCTACATAAAGGAGTGGGGACTGCTGAGCATCCCGTGCAGGGCAGACGCACCCCAGGGTCAGCTCTGAAAATATAAAGGGAGGAAGGAGAGAAAGGGGGAGAAGAAGAGGAGATTGGATTTATATCCCTGCCCTTCACTCGGAGTCTCAGAGCGGCTTACAAACTCCTTTCCCTTCCCCTCCCCTCCCCACAACAGACACCCCTGTGAGGTAGGCGGGGCTGAGAGAGCTCTTTCAAGGACAGTTCCGACAGAACTATGGCTTGCCCAAGGTCACCCAGCAGCTGCGAGTAGTGGAGTGGGGAATCAAACCTGGTTCTCCCAGATTAGAGTCTGCACACTTAACCACAACACCAAACTGGCTCTCTGAAGAAGAAGAGATTGGATTTATACCCTTCCCTTCACTACCCAAAGGTGTCTCAGAGCAGCTTACAATCTCCTTTCCCTTCCTCTCCCCACAACAGACACCCTGTGAGGTAGGTGGGGCTGAGAGAGCTCTTGACAGAAACTACTCTTTTTCAAGAACAGCGCTTATCAGGACTACGGCTTGCCCAAGGTCATCCAGCAGCCATGAGTGGAGGAGTGGGGAATCAAACCCGGTTCTCCCAGATTAGAGTCTGCACACTTAACCACTACACCAAACTGGCTCTCTGAAGAAGAAGAGATTGGATTTATACCCTGCCCTTCACTACCCAAAGGTATCTCAGAGCGGCTTACAAACTCCTTTCCCCTCCCCTCCCCACAACAGATACCCTGTGAGGTAGGTGGGGCTGAGAGAGCTCTTGACAGAAACTGCTCTTTTTCAAGAACAGCTCTTATCAGAACCATGGCTTGCCCAAGGTCTTCCGGCCAGGTGCAAGTGGAGGAGAGGGGAATCAAACCCGGTTCTCCCAGATTAGAGTCCGCGCACTTAACCACGACACCAAACTGGAAGAAGAGGTGCACAAGCTCAAATGGCGCCTCTAACCACTCTGAGCAGATCAAGCGGTCTTGCACTGGCTCCAGGCCCAAAGCTCTTCCTCTCCTGGGTCTGCCCATTAGAAGTCTGCGCTTCTTGCCAAACAGGAGCTCCGGGTACTGGGAAGGCGACCGGGAATTCAGCACCCTCCCCCCACACCTCCCTTCAAACCCGACTGTCTTGGAGCCTGTGACCTTTACCAGCCTGCGGCAGAATGCACTGGGCGATCACGTCTCGGAGCTTCTCCAGGGCCACGTTGGAGTCCTCGCTGCTGTTCTCCGGATCGTGGATGTACATGCTGTCCTTTGGTTTTGTTCTGTAACGAGACAAGGGGGCAAGCTTTCAAAGAGGAGCGCAAGCAAAGCCGGAGAGACGCACACGTCAGCTTGGGGGGGGGGTTTTCTCCTCTTCCCCTCTCACAGATGACACCTTGCTGTCACTGCAAGGAGGAGCACCAGGTGAGATGAGAGAAGCACCCGAGAAATGGGACGGAACTGCAGCGGCCAGGGAAGGCTCCGTGGCTGGGATGTGGCGGAGCATCAAATCTTCGCACTTGGGCTCCGCCCTCACTTCACAACGGATTCTCTGATCTCCTCCCACCTACCAAATAGTTGCTTGCAAGGCCATGGAGGGTGAAAGGGAGAAGGGGTTGCATGTCTGGGCCAAAAAGAGTTCCCCCGATTTTGGCCCCGTGTCCCGTCTGACAAGGGGCCCCTTGCATAGCAGCTCTGTGCAATGATTTGAAATACGCAGAGATGTCCCCCAGTTGCCCTGACCAATGTTCCCTCTAAGCTGAGTGAGTGTGAGCTAGCTCACAAGTTCTTTAGCCTCCGGCTCACACATTTTTGTCTCAGCTCAGGGAGGAGGGCTCCGGAGCAAGCTAATTTAGGCAGGAGCCAAATCGCTCGCTCACCACTTTCATGCCAGCAGCTCAGAAAGTAGAATTTCTGCTCACAAGATTCCACGTCTTAGAAGGAGCATTGGCCCTAACGTCTGAATAGAGATGTGAAGGCCCGGAAAAAACCTGGAAAAATTCGGGGGGAAAAACAGTTCCCCCCCCCTTTTTCCTGAAGCCTTTTTTGTTTTTTCCCAAAAAAATGGAAAAATTGAAAAAAGAAAATAAAAGGAAAAAAATTGACTATGGAACGTTTTATTTTAACATGATGAATAAAATATTTTAAGACAAAGTGTTCAAATATTTTCCAAATCATTTATTATATATATATATATATAGTATCAGATTGATCTAATTTCTGTGCATATATATTATCAGATTGATGCAATTTCTGTGCACTGAGGACAAGCAAGTCCTAGGTTACAAACTGAACTCTCCAATGCAAGAACACGATGCATTTCTTCCTTTAGGAGGTGCTATTGTCAGAAGAAACTAAAAAGGTTTCAGTTTTGTTCTTGTATGTGGGTGGGTATTCTGTTTGTAATAATTGTTTGGATACACTATATTTTTAATATGCTAGTTGTGATAATTTCATGCCAAGTAAAAATATCCATAGTCATATTTTATGTTCCTAAAGTAACAGAATGACTTTCAATCTAGAAAAGACAAAACAAATGCTAATGTAGCATTTTCTTCAATTTTTCGGAAAATGTCCGTTTCCCCCCGAAAAAAACTGGAAAAAAACCCGGGTTTTTTTCTGAGCTTCAAAATTTCCGGAAATTTTACATCTCTACGTCTGAAACACGGGTGCCTGTGTCCCCCAGGAGGGGGCGCTACGAGCTGCTACCAAGGGACTTTCACCCACTCACGGCCTCCCTGACCTGTCTCGCTACCCCGTGCCGGAGTCTGAGGTGACAGCAAGGCACACAGAGGCAGAAGGAAAATGGGGCAGTCTTGCAGGCGAGCCTGTTGACCCCTCTGTTTGCATAGCGAGGCTGTGGCTTCCTAAGGGGGAGGGACCATACAGCCAGTGTTCCCTCTAAGCTGAGCTAGTGTGAGCTAGCTCACGGTTTTTTAGCCTCTGGCTCACACATTTTTGCCTTGGCTCAGGAAGGAGGGCTCCAGAGCAAACTGATTTATGGAGCAGCTAAATCGCTCCCTCACAACTTTACTGCCAGTAGCTCAGAAAGTAGAATTTTTGCTCACAGGACTCCACAGCTTAGAGGGAGTGTTGCATACAGCAGATGTTCTGCAAGCAGGAGGAAGACCCAGGTTCGGTTTGCGGCCTCTCCCATTAAATGATCTCAGATCACAGGGCTGAGGAAGATGCCTGCCTGAGACCTTGCGGAGCCCGGCCACACCGAATCATAGAGTTGGAAGGGGCCTCCAGGGTCATCTAGTCCAACCCCCGCACAAGGCAGGAACAATAACAAATACCTCCCCCTCCACACCCGCAGTGATCCCTGTTCCATGCCCAGAAGATGACAAAAAACCCCCCGCCAGGATTGCTTCCTGACCCCAAAGTGGCGATCAGCATTCCCCTGGGCGTGTAAGGAAGGGCCACAGGAACTAAGCACGAAGGCAGCCCTTCCTGCCCTCCCTCTCGTGATCTGCCTCCGTTCACAAAATCAACATTGCTGTCACATGGCCCATCTAGCCTCTGCTTGAAAACCTCCTCCAAAGGAGGAGAGCCCACCACATCCGGAGGAAGCCTGTCCCACTGAGGAACCGCTATGTCAGGAAGTTCTTCCTCATGTTTAGCCGGAAACTCTTCTGATTTACCGTAATCTCAACCCGTTGGTTCTGGAGCTAGTGGTCTGACTAGGGAAGAGGCACCTTCCTGTCTGTTCACTGGACTTAAGAGTCATCGAATCATAGAGCTGGAAGGGACCTCGGGGGTCATCTAGTCCAACCCCCTGCACAGTGCAGGAAATTCACAAATACCTCCCCCTCCACACACCCAGTGGCCCCTTTTCCATGCCCAGAAGATTACAAAAAAACCTCCAGGATCCTACAGCCTGGAGAAAAACTGCTTCCGGGCCCCGAAAGTGGTGATCGGCATTCTTCCCCTGGGCGTGGAAGAGAGGGCCAGGCGAACTAAGCACTGAGGCAACCCTTCCTGCCCTCCCTTCTCATGACTTGGTTGTACTCCACGTGGCGAACCCGCTCTGATCCCTGTTCGCTTTTGTGGGTCTTGCTCCGTCTTTAAAAAAAACATTAAAAGCAGAAGTGTTTGACCGTTACCCCAGCAGTTTCCTTTTGCGCAGGATCGGGTTGTTGACAGAGTGGAGGGGTTTGAGGCTGACTTTGAGGTCCTGGATTCTCATGTTTGCCAGCTGTTCCGCGTGCGCTTGCTGAATACCAGCAACCATTGCCTGGCGTGGCAGGGGGTGGGGGAGGAGAAAGCAAGTTAGCCTTCAAGGTTTTAATCAGCTTCCAACAGGCATCAAAGTATTGGCAGGAGGGCTGTGCTGACCGTCACAAAGCGGATCCGGGCTGCCCCAGGACACATCCCAAAGCAGGACCAATGGATCTCCTGGCCAGTGTTCCCTCGAAGCTGAGTTAGTGTGAGCCAGCTCACAGTTCTTTAGCCCCCAGTTCACACGTTTTTGCCTTAGCTCTGGAAGGATGGCTCCAGAGCAAACTAATTTACGCAGTAGCCAAATCACTCACTCACAACTTTAATGCCAGTCGCTCACCAAGACTCCACAGCTTAGAGGGAGCCTTGCTCCTGGCTCTTCGATACGAGACAGAGGTTACGGAAGGGGATGCTGCACAAAAGTCTCCCTCGCAGGCCAGACCGCTTGGTGAGGGATCCGTGGCAGGTCCGGGTGTTTGTGCGCACACCTCCATTCAACCCTCCCAGCAGTGGGATCAGTGAAGACTGTTGCCAACTGTTAGCCAGCAAGAGTTTGGAAACTTCAGCTGGTGTAAAATGCTCAGTCCCACCTTCCGACAGAGACAAGCCACTGGGAGCATTGGTTCTAGTCCGTACCTGTCTCCATCACTGTGCTAATCACTCTTAAGACTGACTAGAAGTACCCTCTTTATCGTGATGACTATGTGCTAAGCTCAGACACTCAGGGATATGGAGAGAGGTGCTTTTCAGCAACGGCCACTTGAGAGTAAACCCTTCAGGAGAGCCACAGACGGGCCCACTCATGCTATTGATTTCTTCTGTATACCTTGACGCAGCGGCAAAAGCTGACGAACAGCCCCACTTTCACCAGGACTAGCTGCCAATATTCATAATTGCACCACTTAGGAATGAGATATGCTTGGGAAATTCTGCTTTCCGTATTGTAAGCTTCTTAGCCTGGTCCTGTCCTTCAAACAGCACTGAAAGTGAGGAAGTTCTTTTGCTGTGGAGGTTTATTTCCACAGTCAAGGTCACTTAAGAGAGCTGGGGGGGGGGGGGTTCCTTGACTCAAGACTGGCATCCAGTGGACCAAAAGGGGAACAGCTTTGTCACTGGAATGTCTGCCAGGGAGCCAATCAGGCAAGAGGGGTGGGGCCACGCAGCAAATCAACACTCCCTGCCCTAGTGCCAATTGGCTGATGGCCAGGCTTTGGCCAGGCGTCACCCAGGACATGACTGCTGATTAAAGTTCACCCCTCCCATCATGAAGTTGGTGGCAAGAATCCATCACCCATTGGAAATGCTTTGCAACCAGTGTTCCCTCTAAGCTGAGTTGGTGTGAGCTAGCTCACAGTTTTTTAGCCTCCAGCTCACAGATTTTTGTCTTGACTCAGGAAGGAGGGCTCCAGAGCAAACTAATTTATGCAGTAGCCAAATCGCTCACTCACAACTTTAATGCCAGTAGCTCACAAAGTAGAATTTTTGCTCACAAGACTCCACAGCTTAGAGGGAACATTGTGAGATGATACGGGAAAACACTGGCCCAGTCCAACTTTCCCCTCCACAATATCCCATTTACACAGACCTGGGAGACTGAATGAGACAACTACACAGTTCAGATGCCACAAACCCAAGCCCTCAAAAAACCACAGTCCGGAGGGCACTGGAATGTGTTCTAAGCATCATCCTCACTTTTTGTACATGCAGTCCTCTCCACTTACTGGTCCTCTCCAACCAAGGGTAGCCATAATGGCCACATTGGAAAACTGAGATTTAGTAGCAGAAAAGAGCAAGAGTCCAGGAGCACCTTAGAGACTAATAAAATATGTGGCAGGGGAGGAGCTTTCGTGAGTCACTGCTCACTTCTTCAGATGTAGCACCTCTCACCCACAGATACTTCACCCAGTTCAAACCCTGGTTTCACGCCACAGTTGGCAAACTGGTTAGCCCTTTGCCTCCAAGTGGGACACATCATGGCAAGCTATAATTACAGAAGACCAGAAAGTGCAGGAGAGGACATGCGGAGGAAAAGGAGACCTCAAGCTAGAGAAGCAATCCCAAACTTCCAAACCTTGGTCTGGAAGACTGGATCTGCAACCTACGCAGGATTATGAGTATCAGAGGAACAAACTCACAGCATGGTTCTCATCTTAAGCTCCCAGTCTGGCCAAGGATTCTCCCCCCTCTCCTGTTCAATTAAGCTCCTGTAATGATTTCATGTTTTGGTGTGTGGGTTTCTTTAAATGTTTCGTTTGACGGCAATAATGTAAGGAGCGTGATAGAGAGAAATGAGTGTGATATGATTGGCTGATGACAGAGAATGTGGGAGGAGGGGTGTTTTGGAGGAGATTCTGGGTTTTAGAGAGACGAGTGTGGAGACTTGAATTCTTTAGCCTGTACGGCAGAAGAAGTCTATCCTGTGTGGCTAAGACAAACCGTTTAGCCTGTGTGGCTAAGAGAGGCAGAGCTTAGCCTGTGTGGCTACGGGTGTCAGAGTTGAGTTTTGGTGTTTTGAGAGACAGTGTGTGAGACCCAACTTTATCAGTTATATTTATAAGTTCCTTTCTTCAACAACAGCTCAAAATACCCAGAAACATATTTTATTCTTTAATAAATAAATCATTATTTGTTTAAACTTATCCCAACAATCAGAACAGCCCTTCCTCAGGGCCACATAGTCCTATGAAGTACCCAGACACAGGGTCATTCTACCATAGCAGAGAAATGTGGATTTTTTAATTCCTGGTGGCAGCAGGGATCTAACAGGCTTATGTGAACATAGTGTATTTTAAAGGAAGAACAGTCTCCCCAATAAGTAGGACATCACAGTTCCATTTCTAATTCTCTGCTTAAATATATACACATATCAGGACCTGGGATTAAGGATACAAACCCCAATAACTGACAATATTGAAAACGACCCCCTAAAAACGTCACCCCGTTCATCCATTCGGGAGAGATTAAAAAGAAAGTAAAAACCTTGTCCATCATCAACTGGGCAGAGGGCAAAATGTTATCGAGGGCCTCTGTAGAGTTCAGCCATGGGTGGTCCAGGACACCTTCTATCGTCAGCCTCTCCTCCGGCTTAACCTTCAACAACCTGGGAGCATTAAAACAGAACCTCAGAAACCCACCCGGTTTTCTTAGAGGTCGGTCCCAACCTTCACACAGGAACTTCCCATTCTAGCAGCCGCTGCTTTTTCACCCATAAATGCCTACAAGGTGAGCGGTCGCCATGGGTTCTGTAGGTACCTCCTCCCTTTTCTCTTACCGGTTTCATCGATCAAAGAGTGGATTCTTAAAAACCATTGCCGGGATACCAGATTAGGATGACTGGTACTTAACGGGGTTGTTGCCGGTGGCTGTTTCTCAGCCACAGAACCGTCTTCCTCCGGAGACTTTCCAAAAACACAACAATTCTCTTTGGAAAGGGGCTTTGGGTAGAGTGGGTTGGAAGCTGTATTGCCGAAATACCAAACTGGTTTCACTGGTTTTTGAGTTCGGCCAGACTGAGTGTGTCTCAGGACCGGCCAAAGTAAAAACACATTTTGTTGTTGTTCAGTCGCACAGTCGAGCCCGACTCTTCGCGACCCCATGGATCAGATCACGCCAGGCCTTCCGGTCTTCTGCCGTCCTCCAAAGTTGGCTCAACTTCATGTTCGTTGCATCTATGACACTGTCTGACCATCTCATCCTTTGCCGCCCCCGTCTTCTCTGACCTTCGATCTTTCCCAGCATCAGGGTCTTCTCCAGTGAGTGCTCCCTTCTCATTGGGTGGCCAAAGGTGACATAAAACACATACTACGACCCAAATCAACTGTGCAAAGGACTATCGACCCTGCTGGGCAGGCCACAGGCCTTACCACTGTACCCACGGGGACTCTCTTTCCCCCAGGAAGTGAATGGGTAATTGCCCGAGGTCTGAATTGGCAAGGGAATGGTCACTTGAAGAATTCCGATGCTTAGCCGCCCTGGGGTGGCTTTTGCTTTGAGCGGATAAACATACGCAGAGATCGGGGCATTCTGGTCAGTGGCACGGGTTCCCTGCATCCCTGCAAGCGCACCCCAACATCCATTCCCTGGGAACCTGCCACCCCTTGGCACAATTGTCAGTGAGGCTACAGGGCGGACGGGGCCTGGCAGCTGAGATCACGCCTGCTTAAACAGCTTGCCTTCTCTTGCTTAGTGCATGAGATTCTGCTCTCTCACGCCCCCCCCCCCCCGCCCCCCCCCCCCCCCGATCTCAGCAATGGGCATACATTCTGGGCCTCTTCTAACTTTCTCTTCATACCTGATTTGGCATGATTCTCTCCCAGGTTGCCAACACTAAGAACTGCTTCAGCGATGATGCATAGAGTGGCATTTCTAATCTAAAGACTGTGGCTTTCAAACAGCATTTCAGGGAACCCTGTGTTTCTCGGAAGCTTAAGAGGTTTCCCAGTGAAAAGATCAGTAGTGGCGAACAAGCTTCCCTGGAAGAAGAGCTAATTCACCTCTGCTGTTCTTGACAACATGCAGCCACACTGGAGGGTTGACTGCACATTCTTGGTTCACGGAAGGTGACTTCAAAACCCGAGATCTATCCAGCATCCCACATAAAGCTGCGTCTATCCGAGATTGCTTTCCAGCATCTTGTTGTTGTTGTTATTCAGTCGCACAGTCGAGTCCGACTCTTCGCGACCCCATGGACCAGCTTCCGCCAGGCCTTCCGGCCTTCCGCCGTCCTCTGAAGTTTGCTCAATTTCATGTTCGTTGCATCTATGACACTGTCTAACCATCTCATCCTTTGCCGTCCCCGTCTTAACGCAAAGGAATTATGTGATCTATGTATCTATCTGTCTTCATCCATCTATCTGTCTTCATCCATCTATCTATATCTGTCTGTCATCTATCCATGTGCCATCTGTCTATCTATCTCTGCTCATAGAGCAATCGCCTTGGGCAGAAAACTTAGTATCTAATTTTTGCCCCTATAAATTTTGCCAACAGGAAGAGTAACAGAATCATTTATATCCGATCACCACCACGTCACCTGCACCCTTGTACCATCAAATGCCTCGTTAGGCATTTCCATATTTTTAAATAAAGGAGTCATCAAAACACGGGCACTGAGTAGGGTCCTGGGAAGGTGGGAAGTTTCAATAATGCCGATCAAACGGGATATGTGCCCTGAGTGACCTGGATGGCCCATCCCAGCCCCATCTCACCAGATCTCGGAAGCTAAGCAGGGTCAGTCCTGGTTAGTATTTGGATGAGAGACCACCAACGAAGTCCAGGATCGCTACACAGAGACAGGCAATGCCAAAACCACCACTGAAAGTCTCTTGCCTTGAAAAAACCCCTACCGGGTCCCCATAAGTGTGCAGCACGTTGACCCCACTTCCCACCACAGCCAATTGGATATGTCATTTTTTAAATGTCTTCGGGGGGGGGGGGGGGGAGGCAAGCTCATCTAGCAGAGAGTTGTTATTACAGCCCAGAAGATCATTGGCTGCCCTCTCCCATCCCTGGAGGAATTGTATAGTTCTCGATGTTTGAAAAAAGCAAAGAACATTTTGCAGGACTTGTCACATCCTGATCATTCCCTGCCCTGTTTGAACTGCTGCCTTGGACTGCAAGAAGATCAAATCAGTCAATCCTAAAAGAAATCAACCCTGACTGTTCCCTGGAAGGCCAGATAATGAAACTGAAGCTCAAATACTTTGGCCACCAAATGAGAAGGGAGCACTCACCGGAGAAGACCCTGATGCTGGGAAAGATTGAAGGTCAAAGAAGACGGATACAGCAAAGGATGAGATGGTTAGACAGTGTCATCGATGCAACGAACATGAAATTGAGCCAACTTCAGAGGACGGCGGAAGACAGGAGGGCCTGGCGGGATCTGGGCCATGGGGTCGCAAAGAGTCGGACTCGACTGTGTGACTGAACAACAACAACTTTGGGCAGAAGATATAGGACAATTAAAGCAAGGACAAATAGATTAAAAATAGTTTTTATTCGAGAGCTATTATTGCCTTAAATGCTGTATGAAACTGGAATTTGGGAGACATTGGTGGTTTTAAGTTGTTATGTGAACCTTAAGGGAGTTATGGGACAGTGGTGAATGGTGGGTGAGTGTATATGAATACTGTTGTAGATCACCGAGATGATTGCATCTTTAATTTCGCTATACTATGTACAATAACAATAAAGTCTATTATTATTATTATCATCAGACACAGAGAAAGGGCAGGTGACAAAGCAGCTGAAAGGACGGATGCAGGAGGAGTCTGGGAATCCCCTGCCTTGGTCTGCAGCAGCTGCGAGTTCCCCTTTGGCACCAGTTTATTTAGAAAATTTATCCATAGCCTCTCTGGAGACCTGGTTTAGGCAGCTCACGAAGTTAAAAAAAAAATGCAATGAAATCACTCCTTTAAAAACCACAATAAAATGATTGTCGAGGGTCACTGCCACATGGGGGGGGGGGGGACGAAGGGCAAAGTGCGGCTTTTGAAAGCTGCACTAAAATAGACACACGGCGGCGGGATCATACAGATCCCGTGAGACGCCGCGCAGTTGCTCCCCGGCACGATCAGATGCTAGGGAGACTGGGGAGAAAGCGACGAGACGGAGACGGAGGCTGCCGAACTGCGCATGTGTGAGCATGCGCAGTTTGGCCAGGGGTCTTGGATGCGCCAGCAGAAGGACGCACCGGAGATCCCACGGCCGCGCTTGATGCGGCTGTGCTGGTAAGTCCACCTCTGTAGGTGGTTTATTTTAGATGCGGCTTTTCGGCCTGAAGGGCCGGATCGGGGACTGGAGCGCAACATTTCCCAGATGTTGCGGTGGGATCGCGCCCCGTTTGCTCCGCCCCCGATCCATCCCTCTCCCAGCCCAAAACCTTTCGTGTGACCAGGGCCGAGATAAGCCACGAACGCAACATCACGTCAGCCCAAAACGACATCTACGAAGCCGACCCCGACACCATTCGCCGTCTCAGGAGCATCTGGAAGTGCGAGAGATACACTCTCGACTTGGCCAGGGGGGCAAGCGGCAGCTGTGCCGCCCCCGCCCCCTAAGACCACCGCAAAGGAACATCTGTCCCAGGAAAGTGACCGGCCGCATTTCCATCCCGGGTGACTTACTTGCGCACAATGTCTTTTGCCATTTCAGAGATCTGGCTCCACTCCTCCTCCGGAAACTCAAAGCTCCCCGTCATGATCTTTTTCCGCATGTCTTTGGGGATTGTCCGGCTGTGGTGCTTGGAGTAAAAAGGTGGGTAACCACACAGCATCACATAAATGATGACGCCAAGGGACCACAAGTCACAGCTCTAAGGAGTGGGGGGAAAAAGAAGCTTAACTTTCCATGGCGCACACCAATGGGGGGGTGACCCCCCCTCCCCCATGAAGCGACCACAAGCACCCTACACGGAAAGAAAGAGGGGGGGGGGGGGGGAGCTCCGCCCCCGGGAATTTAATTATCGCCTTGGGGCTCTTTGTTGAGTTCCATTTTT